GGGGTCGGAGACCCTGGCCACACATATAAACCATACGGCTCTGATTTCGGAGTCCCCGGCTGGTAGTGGTTAATATACATGTAGAATCTGTCATTGCTAAAGCATGTTGAAATCCTACAATGACAAAAATCAAAGCTACCAGACTAAACTCACCTGTGAACTGAGATGATAGTGGTGAACAGCCTGGGCGAGCCAGGAACCAGGCTAGTGAAGATAAACTCAAAGCGAGTGTTGTTACATCGTGTTAAGATGTACAGGGCTTCCGTCTGACCTCTCAGTTTCTGTTGACAGAGAAAGCAAGAGAAAATGCATGTGAAAATTTGGCAATATATTCATTTATCAACCCCTTATAACAACTTCGAGGATCAATTTTTAAACTGACGCAAATTTATTGAAAGCCAGGATCTTGTACTTCTCACCAGATGAACTAAAACTTGGAAAAAATACATACCGAGTGAGCCGTTCTCACGGTGATGTTGATGATACAAGTATAGCCAACAGCTGTTAATCAAAATAACAAAATAACGAACATGCTTGTAAACCTTCATCTCTGGACCTCATACTGTGGGGCCCATCACTTATATCAGAAAGAACTACTACATGTTTTTCATTGACATTTTCGACCATAAACCTTCCAACCAGCTTTTGAATGCTTAAAACATAGTTACTGGTATAAAGCTCCAAATAGGGCAGTGCCAAGTATCTAAATATTCGATTGCTTATCAAATATACTAATATTTTTTTCTAAATTTAAATATTCAAATGCAAAATTCATGAAAAGGAAGGGAGAGTTTTCTATTGTTTAATTAAATGAGAAAATTAAACTATGGAGGCTTGTTCCAAGCAGATTCAAAGGAAAAGTGACAGAACAATATATCTTACAACAATTCAAAAAGTAAATTGTTCATTAAAAAATTTAAAAGGAATAGAAATTTTCAACAGGGCAAGAAGTATTCTTCATCTATTAAATCTTGCTGAATCATGGCTGGAGATACTCCTAGACATGAGAAGCTATTATAGTGATTATAATGTACAATTGAGAGTATTAGCGCAACTGATTTTATATGTGATTTATTCATCAACAATCTACCGATCGGTACAACTGAATATTCAGATATTTGATCAAACTGAAGTTTGAATATTCGAATAGTGAATTATTTGAACTGACTCAGCCCTAGTTCCAAACAATGGACAAAATTACAGTGCCACCACAAACTCTTTACTATCTAGATGTTCACTGCGACAACATTTTGTGTTATTTTATCCACACCGTTTTAATACTTACATAAGTTGACCCTTGGCAAGCTGTGTGAATGCCAAATTAGTCGCAAGTTGGTAACAATCAAACGACCTGTAATGACAAAAAAATGGACCATTAAAAGTAATAAACTGCTGGACTTTAATCACCATCATCATTCTGCACATGACCATCAAGAGGGTTGTAGTGACCTCCTGACACCCCAGTAAAGAGCAAAAGACCAGCACTCATTTGGAGACAGTTACACAGTGTTGGCAACCTGCTTAAGCCAAGTGAGATGGAGATGGCCGTGGGGCCTCTTCCAGGTGACAGGTCGCTGATCAAGATGGAATTGGAAAGCTGGGTTGAGGGCAAGATGAGCAGGAACCAGGGATTGGAGGTACCGGACGTGACCAAACAAAGTGTGTCGCCTCCCTGCAACCTCTGAAACGATGTTACTGAGGTTGGGCGATGAGAGATGGTGGCATTTGAAATGAAGTCAGACCACTGGACACCTAGTATGCGAAGTTGGACTTAGGCTCGACGAACTGGACCAGAACTACATGTAAGCAGAATGGTTTCCATACTCAGCAATGGAATCTACTCCACCCTTCAGAGGTGTATTATGACCATTTCCAGTTTGCTAGAAATTTACGTCAGATTTTTTTTTGGACAATGTTGGAGGTGGGTTGACTCCAACATGATTTCGCAGTTCCTACGACAATGCCGGTGAGCCTGGCACCAGAGAGAAAGCTGAATTGATTTTCATGGGGAAACTTTTAAAATCAAGAGCAAAATTTACATACAAATCTCCTCCAAAATGGAAATTACAATAACATATCACTAGTGACATTTACTAGGCTTTTGTTCTAATTTCTGTTCGAGCAAATCTGAAAAAATAAGTGTATAAACCTGTTGCAGGAAACTTGGGGGTGCTTAGAACAAAAGGGTGTGTACTCTCATTTCAAGATACTCGTTTTGAATATTAGTACATTCTGCACATACCTCTGTCTCCGTTATTTCCTTTGGTGTCTTCCACAGAGTCTAACAGGTCAATCAGCTTCTCTCCTGGCCGCATATTCATCTGGCTGTCGGGTTTCAAACACAGCAAACACCTTGCCCCAATTAAAAATTGTACTCTTTTCAATTGAATCAATATAGAACAGACAGATGGCTGCTGAAATTCTGCAGTGAAACTCCAGGTGAAATTGGGTCATGGCTAAAATAAACTGCAATATACATGTTTGTACTAAGTAGAGAGGTTGTTAAAAGTGTGAAATATTGTGACAAATTTTCAGGGATTTTCACAGCAACCAAAGCATGATGACTTCTGTTGTAAGTCATAGCCATATGGCTATGACTATGTAAACCCTGCACGTGTGTTTTTTTGGGGGGGGAAGGACTCAGTCCTGAAAGTAGCAAATCCCTGATGACTAAACCTCTAAAATCCTACACTTTTGGGGTAAAAACCCTGAAATGCAGAAAAATTCAGAGAAATCACATCCCTGCCAAATGCTGCTGTTTTTCAGTTTCAATGGTTCATTATCACAACGATTTATAACAATACATGCCAGATTTTTATTGCTATAGAAACCAATTTAACTTAAACTAATGTCTTTGACTGTCTCCATTGCTAATCAAGTAGAGTAGCATCTGATTTTACAAAGCCACATTGAGATTCATGTGGGCCTACATGTGTTCCTTTCCACCACAGTATTTAAGTATGCCTCAGTCACTTCATGGTCACATGACATGCATAAACTTACGCTGTGCTGATGTCAAACCTGACATCCCGATCTTCCCAAAGTGCATCATAGATGGGTGGAGGATTATTTATTGACATTGTCTGGCACACTCACAGCACCACTCTTGTCTCTAGCGGTATGGATTCGCAAGGTTACAGCAGGACTAGAAACCATACCTGTGATACAGAATTAAAGTTCATTAACTGATTAAAAAGAAACCAACTACACAAATTGTACATGTATATGATGTTAGGGCCTAACATTAGAGATCATGTACATGTTGCAAGAAATTAGAGACCATCTCCATGTAGCAAGACACACACATACATGTACATGTAATGCAGACTGGCATCCAATCTAAAGAAAGGAGAATTAGGCCTAAACATTCATCATGTTCATTCATGACAATATTATTATCGAACATGATCATCTGGGCTACAGACATGATGGTTCATCAGGTGCCACTTGACATGCTTGAGGAGGTGATGGTGTTAAGACTTTAGGCCAAGGCCTACACATAGCTACATCAGTCATGAAGGATCTGATGATGAACTGCACAGTGCAAGTTTATTATACCAATTTATAGTCAGAACAAGAATCAAGTCGGGTTCACAGCTGGCGACAAACATGACACTGACAAGCGCATGACACTTGAATAGCCTGACAGTGAGTGAGTGACATTTTACAACTTCAGCTCTGTAGCCAAGTGAGGCGTAGGCCTACCGTCATTGGTGTCAACATGCAACGGACCGTCAACGATCAACAGTAACATTCGTGGTATTATATACGTTACGCCCCAACTATAGCATCAGTCCTATCCCAACTAGAGTATAGTTCGGCTGGCCCAACTACAGCACAGAGGTCCATTGTGCATGTGCCCAGCATGCTCCAAAATCATTATTATGTACAATGTCATATCACACTGAATTGCCATATTTTAGATGAACTGTGTCAAGCACGAGATTTGTAAACCTGGATAAGGTTGAGAATTTTTCTATAGAAATTGGTCAACAATAGTTGGGCCAGCCCAACTGCAGCGCTACAGTTGGGATTGTCCCAACTATAGTTGGGACAGACGCTATAGTTGGGGCGTTACATTACTGCACACGGTCTGGGCATACATGTACATGTACATCTGTACAGTGTAGCGCATCAACACTTCCAAACGTAAAAAAAAAGAAAAAAAAGAGCGGTACTTGACCGTACAGCGTTTGCCGAAAGGTTATTTTGGCTAAACCCCAAAAGGTTAGACTCTTGGAAAATCGCCGTTTAAATTTTGCCGAAATCGCCTCCTTCAAACCGGCTCCGGGCTCAGGAATCAGCAGCCATGTTACTCTAGCTCTAGTGGCAACTAGGACCATACCATTACGCCAGAGGGGTGGGCATCCGTGGGCAGTCGGTACACCCGGTACCATACACGAATCGCGTCGTTGGATGGAGCGTGGAGCTATAAAAAAGGAGGGAGAATTCCCTCCCGTGTCCTTTCCCAAAAGTCACATAGCCTTATTTCTTTAAAATTCACTGTGATGACTGTATTTGAAAAAAAATTCTTCTTCTTGCAGCTTCAATACTTTTACCGTTGAAGTTATCATAATTGTCCATTTTCTTTTCGTAATTTATCAATAGTGCCTAAACTGTGTTAAATGATGTTGTTTCTGGTATATTGATTTTCTACTCTCTTAAAAAATATTTTAATTTACTGTCATCTCTATAAAACGTTTGGGCTGCGAATATGACTTCAATACACCAAGTGACAATCCAGCGGGTGGCAGGAGGGCAACTTACCCCTCCCCCCGCAGATTAAAAAAAAAAAACAGTGTGTTGTTTGGTCCTTCAGATTTCTTTTGCTTTTCAATTTTTAGTTGGTTAACCAATGAATTTTTTAATTATCCGCAAAAACACCCCCCCCAAAAGTCAATGTTCCCAAGTCTTCTCAGCGGCCATTTCTCAAATGACATCCCTCATCACTTGCGCGGACTCTTCTGACAAATTTTCAATCACATTTTTGTCTGCTTTGCCCCCAGATGGGTGCCCCTGACTCTACAGAGATGATCCCGGGCCATACTGGCACTACCCCACAACGTATTTCTTGGCCAAAACATGTCGACCCCTCTTTTCGAAAGAATCTGTAGGGAAACTTTTTGTGTGCGCCTCCGCCTGGCGGAGAATTTTCCTTGAACTGTGGACACTGCACCCTCTATAGAGTACCGCAGTGAATACGTCACGCGCACAATTAGTGTGTAAAACGCATTAGTGCGAGAACCAGCGTGTGAACCAACACGCGCGCGTACTCCATTCGTTTGCACTGCACTTTCTGGTTTACAGTGATGTCACACTTCGGACCCTATAGCGGACTCGATCGACCATTATGCGCGTGCCGCGTGCACAGATTTCTATTGCGCCCTCTCGTGACTTCATTTCTACAATCGACGGCTCGTTCTACCGTCTTAGGGTTGCACTACACCAAAAACGCGCCCATACAAAACAGTGCAAAATCGGACAGAAAGAGCGCCGCCTGTTGACTCTTGTGAAGAGGTTGGCCTCTGTTTTTTTCACCGGAAATTCAAGATTATGGACAGAAGATCATTTTTCGTTTCAATTTCATTGGGGGGGGGGTTAGCCACGAAATTTTTTTATAGTCGCCCGCCTCTATCCAAAATAGGTCCGCTATTTGGGGCTTTTTGTGAAAGAAATACCCAAGACTGGAGATTATCAGTCCCCAAATCGGGATTTATAGAAATATTTCTACGATGCCTCCTGATGGTCTGTGATTTTGTAAAAATCCTGTGGGATCAAAAAATATTAATGAGCTCGCGCGCAAAAATACAACCATTCGGTGGAATGCACCCTTAGGAATCTCCTACAAACTGTTTAATTTTCTTTTTAGTTTTCCTCCGGATTTCAGGAGGAACCAATCAGTGTCTGGGAAATTCCTGTTGAATCACTATGTGATGAATATGGATCGATGACCTTCAACACCTGACCTATGTAACGGTACTGTACACTGTAGAATTATGCGTGTTCAAGGCATTATGGCGAGAACCAGCGCATGAACAACGCGCGCGTACTCCATTTGTTTGCACTGCACTTTCTGGTTTACTCCATTACTTTGAGGTCACTGTGCAGGTATTTTCTTTCAAATCTGATCGTGTTGATTTTTTTTGTAAAAATCACTCTTTTAGAATTTGTTTTATTTTTTGTGCATAATGCGGTGGGTTAATGCTGTCTGATTAATTTTTAGTTATCAGGTTATCTCCGTGAACTTTATTTGTTTATATTTTTTGAAAATAAATTATGGTCTCCATCCGTGGAAAGGAGTGTCGGAACGATGTCCGACGTTCGTTGCCTGCCTCGAAATCCACAGTAAAGTGATCGAGTACGCATGCGCTGACTCTCAACTAAGCGATGCACAAGGGCATGTGATCGAGTGAACATACGTTTATGTACAATACGTTCTATAGCCGTGGGCCAAGACGGCAGAACTCGATAGCATACATTATATCGCGCGTTATGGTATACACGTATTCACTTCGGTACCGAAGTGTGACATCATTTTGAACCAGAAAGTAGAGAGCTTATTGATATTTTTATCCCAGTTTTTTTTTTTAATAATAAGGCATGCCATAATCAGGACGGATCATTATAGAAATATTTCTATAAATCCCGAATTTGGGACTGGTAGTTTCCAGCTCAGGGTATTTCTTTCAACAAAAAGCCCCAAAATGCAGGCCTATTTGTATAAAGGCGGGAGGCTACATTCAGAACGGAGCACATAGGTTTGCTACTATTTGGGTGGTGTCTCCGGGGAAAGGCGAATAAAAAGAAATCCACGTGGCTACCCCCCCCGTAAAATTCAAGCGAAAAGTGATCTTCTGGCCATAATCTTGAATTTCCAATAAAAAAAAAAGAGTCAACAGGCGGCGCTATTTCGGTCTGATTTTGCAGCGTTTTGTGTCGCTTCGGTACTCTATACAAGCACGTCACATGCCTTTTTGGCCAATAGGATGCTGTAACTAGCTAAAATTTGCAAGTGCTCGTAGAGCTCAACGGAACGCACGTGTGAGCGTGGTGCCACCGGAGCAACATAAAGAATAATTCTGTGGCCACGTGCATCGTGTGCAAAGTGCTAGTCTTTTTTTTTCGTGTTTCCACCGTCCACATGCCTGTAATAGTATCCGGCATGCCATGCGTACCTTGACTACTAAAAGGGTTATTGCCGAGTTGGCTGGATAATGTGAAAGAATGGGCAATCAAGGTATTTACGTAATCAGAATACACATACATGTAGTTCATTTAGGGCGTGTAACTTGAAGAACATTAGCAGTTCATAGCTGAAAATTTTTAGGTGAATAGGGCGGGAAAGTGGACCGAGCAGGCAGGCAGGAGTTCTTTTGCAACTGCTTGCTAGTTTAAAGCAATTCTTCCTGTATTACCACGTTACATTTCGTCTTCCCGTGCATACTTGACTTCTTGTATTGGTGCGTAAAAGAGCTCGAAATTGTCCATATCTGGCAATCGTGGTTTCATCTGAAAGGGCACATGATCCACGATCCATTGATGTAAGTTTCATATCCATATTTGCTATATTTAGAGAAAGAGCTGCAAAAAAAGGCAAGAGTTCTTGTGCTACTGCTTGCTAGTTTTGCTGAATTCTGCCTTTGTTTACACGTTTCAGGTTGTCTTCCCACGCATAGTTGACTCCTTGCTTTGGGGCATAAAAGAGCTCAATATTCTCCATATCTGGCAATCTTGGTCTCATCTGAAAGGGCACATGATCCACGATCCATTGATGTAAGTTTCATATCCATATTTGCTATATTTAGAGAAAGAGCTGCAAAAAAAGGCAAGAGTTCTTGTGCTACTGCTTGCTAGTTTTGCGTAATTCTGCCTCTGTTTACACGTTTCAGCTCGTCTTCCCGCCCATA